CAGGGCCGCTGCCACCGAGCACCACTTGAACAGGTATTCCGAAAAGGTGGAAATGCAGCACACTGCTGCCATGTCACAGCAGTACTGCTCTGTCTCCAGCTCAAACCAGGTCGATGATTCTTCTTCCTGATCATCACTGGACAGCAAGGTTACTGTGGACTGGCTTGTATCTTCTTCATACTCTTGTACAAGCTGAACAATAGGACTTTCTTTAGTCAAATCCACCACCACTTGCTCTTTATCTATCTGTGGAATATCTGTAGTAACAAGTCTACAACAAAAGAGTTAAAGACAGGATGTTAACTCAACAGTTTCCCATGTCTGCTCTGGAAGATTGCAAAAGTAGGATCTTTCAGAAAAATCAGCAAAGCTCAGTCTGGTGACCAAAGGCCAAGTTGGAGACAGTGAGAAATCCTCTAAAGTAGTATTTTCTCTGATGTTCTTCAGTCTCAATTTGCAAACAAATTATTTCAACTCTTGCTTCTGAAACAGAAGCCTTCTCAGTCAGATATTGCCCCTTCCCTCACCCCTGAAAAAAGTCACCATTTCAAATATCACTGAACTCTTCCACAGCAAACATCTTACTTTGCTGCTGCAATGTTCAAATGCAAACGCAGGAAACTCAGCCTTCCCACTGAACTTCCTCAGTCTCTCAACAACAGAGTACTCGAAAACCATAAAACCTCAGAACACAGCACAACTCACATCTTAACACTTAAGAGGTAGAGTCTTGGCTCTAAGTAGCCAAATCAATTCTCACCAATTGTAATTGAGTGGAAAAAAGCGCCCCAGAATCTATACACAACTCCTCTTTCCAACCTAATTCTGTGTATTTGCATATGAATTTTCACTAAGGATAGTCTAGTAAAAATATACGCGTCTCAACATGAATTTTTGCCAGTATAATTTAGTTGAAGTTTAAGCAATACAATTTAATGCCTGATTAGTCTCTCTCACAGGAGACAACCACAAAATCTAGACCAATATTAAGTCAGTTCTGTGCCAAAATAAAACACGTCATAACGTTTTGTTACGGAAATACATATATAAACCATAACTAAACCAATAAATTCCCCTGGTTAGTAACAATACCACACTACAGATTTCACCAAATACCTGCCTTTTCACTTGTTTATGTCTGTATGCCACACCTTTAGCATTCTGGTAGCCAGGATTCCAGACTGGTGCATGTCAGTCTCTGCTAGGAACACATTACAGAAACCCCAGCACCAACCACTTACTCTGGTGAAGGAACAGGCGTTGGTTCCGGCAGTCTCGGTGCAGCTGTTGAAGTTGCAGGAGTGGCAGTGACATTTTCAGACACGCTCTTGTTCCCTGCTGCAGGAAGGAGGTAAATGTGAACATTAAAATTCAAAGACTGTCTTTGTTTCCAAAGAATTTGAAGCTTAGGTTTGTTGTTGGGGTTTTCTTCGATTATTAACTGCCCTATCAAATTCATTGCAGATGTCATTCCAAGTTATTTGAATGAAAGTGCTGTCAGTTTATAAATATGATGTTGTGGACAGTCTCAGAATACTTCCAGCAGCAGGAAATTAGACTTAAACTGGGTAACAAAGAGTAAAGGTCTCTGAACAGCACTGAACAGACCTATGTGTTATCTTTGTATCAGTTCCTTTCTCAGCAAATTTGGCATCTTTGTTCCACTTTTTGCATTAAGTAGGATATGAATTCCATGACACTAATCAGCTGTGCCATAAAAGGTGGAAAAAGTCACTTAAACATAGATCATCCAACTCTTCACAGTAACATTAAACAAGACAACAAGGAGAAATTAAAATTTTACAGAATGTTTTTCATTAAAGAAAACCATCAATAAAATACCTTCTGCTTCAGTTGACTCTTCAGTTTTGGCTCCGAGCATATTAGCAGCAATGTTCACCATACTGAGGATGGCATCTAAAGGAGACAACAGCTACTCAACAAGGACACACTCAGAAATTAGCTGCACTGAGCAATCTGCTATTCTGCAATACTTGCTTGAAAGGAATCACAGTATAAAGACATCAAAAAAGCCTGGTCATTCTATTACGTTGAATGCAGCTGATCCTTTTAAAGGGTAAGTGTGGAAGATATTGTAATGCAATGGTTAAAAGAAAGAGGACAGAAGCAAGAAGAGTTGGTCTCTTGGGAAAGGAGCTGGGAGTAGTAAGATTCAAGGCCTAATAGTGATAACAGGAACATCTGGTGTTTAGCTGGGAGTAATAGATGTAAGTTTGGAATGACCTAATGGTGATAACAGGGACCAGAGTAGAAAATATTT